GGCTTTATCTGCTGTTTATTTATTCATCTTTCAAACTCCAGAGGACTTTCTTTTCCCTCCTTTGTACTTCTGTTCTCTCCCATTTAATTATTTTTTTTCAGCTGAAAAGATAATGTAGTAGTTTACTGTTTGAAATATGTAAGGAAACCGGAATATTCTGTATTGACTAAACAGTAATATTCTATCCCCATCTGGAAACTTACAAACTTGTTCCATTTTCTCTATTTGAAAGGTATCTTTGGCAAAGCAAAGGTTTCTGCAATCCATGCTTTTTATATATGCTATATATATATATATATAGGTTATTGATTATCCATTTTCCATCCAGATGTATTCGCTTTATATGCTGTGTTTTGTTTGTAATATCTATTGATGCTTAGCTAATTTTGAAAGAAAAGGAGTGTTTGCCTATTTTCTTTTTACAGCTTCATGTTTGCTTTCATTTGTCCATCCTATATGATTTGAACTTGTGTTCCTTTATATTTGTGCAGGCAGTTTTCTGTTACTGGGTTACATCAAATTTGTTGCCGGAGTACCACCTGATCCTTCTCTAATTACTTGCCAAAGGTTTTTTATCTTCTTCTTTTCCTATTTCACTTTTGTACATTTGCTTTTCAATATGCTTAGTTATCTATTCTTGTGCTTCAATGCTTTGTTATGTTTTGCTTCAGAAGTTGCCCCTTAAATAATTTAATTTGATGGTGTGAACCGGCATGTATGTAGAGCAATATGATCTATATGTCATGTGTATTATTAGAGTTATAATCCTATCAAAATTAGCTTAGGGCTATATGTCATCTTTGTAGGTAAAATTGATGCTTTGTTGACCACTATTATATTTTATATTACCAATTTTAATTAGAGAGTAGTAACACTGTTCTATATTATTTGTTGTATGCTTCAAGTTTCAAATTAACAATCCAATTTGTGAAACTAGGTGATGGTTGAAGGAGTGTTTTCTTGTACTTCTGTACGCCATTCTTTTCTTCAGAGGTTTCAATATGGTTTAGTTTATACTTTATAGGTGTTGTGCTTATTTTCCATATCCATATGGTATATTGTTGAAGAATTAATGTAATTTGTTAGAATCAAACATGAGATAGCTCCAAAGTTTTTAAGTTGCATTTATTTGGGTTTGCTTGAATATCAACCCTGATCATCATTGACTGCTCTACAGATGTGAAACTGTTCTTCAACCTGGCTTTAATTCAACTGTACGAATTGAGAAGAATAAATCGAAGGTCAGGCACAAGCGCAAGAAGACTGATAACATCACTCAAAACAACGTAGTGTACAAGTGCCATTTTTGTTTGCATCAGAATCAGAAGAGAGGGACCCCTAAGGGACACGTAAAAGGAATTTGTCCATCAAAAGATAAATCATTGTTAGAGTCAACACCTTCATCAAAATACAGTACAAATGAATCTTGTAAGATTAAATTAGAGAAAGGAACTGTAAGTAAAGATGAAGTGAATGAGATAAATGTGTTTCCTTCACAAGTTGTAGCTAAGGATCTCACTCTTGTGGACTGTCTAGCTACTCCATCAAGTACAAATACAACAACTTTGTTAGAAGGAAAGAAGAGAAGGAGAGATAGTTCCTTGTCCAAGAACGCTATTAAAACTACAAACATGTCTGCAAAAGAAGTAGCAAATTCTGCGAATGCATCTAGCAAAAGACGAAGAAAATCTTGGACTAGTTTAAAGGAAATTGCTCAAAGCAACGCATGAGAAAAGTCAAATCGCAAATCTAACAATCCCATTTCTTTTTATAAGCAGCGAGTTTTCCTGTATATATTAAAAAGTCAAAAAGCCATCACATTTGTCTACTCAGCAGCTACTGTGAAGCAGATGTTACAAGAGAAAAAGTCTGCCTCAATAAGACCACTAAACTTGCTACTGAGAAGGATTGGCTGAGGAGGGAATTGGAAATAGCACAAAGTAAGCATGGTGATGCAGAAATGGAGAGGCTCAAGACAAGACTGCTAGAATTAGAGGCATCCAGACAAGCAAAGCAGAAGGATGCCAAGGCATTGAAGCTGGCTGAGATGAATAGGAAAAACAGGTTTGAGAACTTCAAGAATGCTTCTGAATTGAAGCCGGTGAATACAGGTTTGAAAGAAGGGGAGGCAGGTTATGATCCATTTTCCAGGAGATGGACTAGATCAAGGAATTACTATGCTTCAAAACCTGGTGAAAAGGCTGCAGCTGCAAACAATAGTGTCAATGGCATATTCTGTGGTGGTCTTTCTGCACCTTTAGTTCTTTCAAACACAAGTATTTGGAGCTGTCATGTTTTAGTTTCAGCTTCAAGCAAAAGGGTCCAAAATTTCTGATTAGTTGTAACTCACTCTGTTTGCCTCTTTGCTCATCTCTCTTATCATTTCCTCTAATCTCTAATAAAGTGGTGTATTAATGTATGCAAGTAGTGATCTAGCATTATTATTTTTATAAACTTTTGAATTAAAAGTGGGATGCTACTACATTAACTTATTCCAGGAATGATATAATGTTCATTGAATCATTGTTCGTGACATCTTCAGTTCAAATGAGAATTTTTGTACTTCAATTTCCAGATATAGACAACAAACCAAACTTATAAGCTAAATCTTTTGCCAAATTCATCCCTTTTCTTAGTGTTCAGCATGGGAAATTTTCCTATTTAAAATTCTTTTAGTGCGTCTAAATAAAATAACACAAAAATTAACTATGGATTTAGGTTTATCTAGACTTCAGTTATGAAGCGGACATGATCAAGAAAATGTGTCAGTCTTGTTTGCAACCTGCAAGAAATTCTAGTGGTTTGTTGTAATTAGTGACGTTATTGAAAGTTCTAATTTATTCCTATTGTATATAACTTTTACAATAACTACATTAAACCAGTTAGCAGCAGCCTTATTCGGTAATTCACCTTTGAAGGAAGGGGTTCCTAATGGTTACCTCACCTTGGTGTCAAAAAATATTGTTAGCTCACCTTTCATGTAATTTAAGTTTTAAACATTAGTTTTTAAAATCAATTCAAATAAAATTATGTTTTTAGTTTTTTTTAATGAGTATTTTCAAAAAAAATTCTTAACCTTTCATCTCTTTCAATTTATCTTTTTAAATTTAGTTTTAAATTCAATTTAACATGTTAAAAAAATTACAATAATTAAAAATAATATTGTAGTAGTATTTTAACTTGTGTAATGCACATGTTAAATATTAATTATATGTGCTAAATTTTATAATAAATAAAATATGAAAATAAATATTATGTTTAAATTTATAAATCATATTTAAAATTTATATAAATAGATATTTTAAAATATATAAATTATATTTAAGATTTATGATAAATAATTTATATTATAGTGCAATATTATTTTTATTTATTAGTAATTTATTTTAAAAATATTAGAATTTAATTCATAAATAATTAGGATAAATAAAAATTGAGTTAAATAATAATTTAAAAGAATTTCTAAAAGTCCTATTGTTGAAGAAAATTTAAAAATACTTTCACACAAGATAGACGTTTGTGTTTAATATATAAAATTTAATTAAAATTTGTAGAGAATTATATATACATATATATAAATAAATACTATGTTTGAATATATAAATTATATTTAAAATTAGTATACATAAATATTTTTGATATATAAATAATATTTTATATTTATGATAAATAATTTATTTTATAATAAAAAACTATTTTAAAATATTAATATTTAATTTATAAATAATTATGATAAATATAATTTAAATTAGATAAGAAGTTAAAAAAATTCCTACAAACCTTCGTGTTGATAAAAACTCCCTAAAAAACTCTTGCACAATATATAAATTTTAATATATAGGAATTGATTACAATATAAATAATTATAAGTTTAAAACATGTTAATAGTTTACGGATCTTCAAGTTCAACTCCTAGTGATAAATGTGCTTCAAAAACTATTAAGTCAAATTAGATCTTGTAGTGCTCAATATCATGACATGTGTGTAGAAAAGATAGATACTTGAAAGGGAAGTTAAATAGTATCAGTAAAAAATTTGCATTTTTTTAAGTAATGAAGTAGTAACACTAATAATAAAAAATGCTTAAGAAAGAAGTAGAAGAAACACATGATAATTTTTATATTAATTTGTCTTTAATATCAAAACTATGTTTTTATATGTAAATTTTATTTTTATATTTATATAAATTAAAAAAATGGTGACTCTTTAAAAATGAGATATTGAACAATCGTCCATGTGTTCAGAGTTGTCACTGTCTCCTTTTCTTTTTTCACTAGAGTCTAACTCAATTGGTTAATTGAATATGAGTTGAGAATTGTTGTAAACTTTTTGATATTATTTGATTAACATGAATAATAATAATAATAATAATAATAATGAAAATAAAAACCTTGCCTAAACTGCCGTTCTTTTTTTCCCTCCGGCCACCATGGTCATATTTGTTCTCATTTACTTATATTTCGTGTTAGACATTTAGAAAGCCTATACAATGGAAGCCATACAAACGCCAAATTAAGTATGACCCAAAGCCGCCACCTTCATTAAATTATAAAGAAACAAAATACAAGTTGTAGATATTTCATCTTTAGCAATTTCTTCGATGTATGTAGTTCATACTACGGTAGTCCAACCATGCCGATATATAGTGTTAAAATTCTTTTTGTCTTTCTATGAAAATTTTTACTTTTCATAAAAATACTTTTAAAATTTTAATACATTTATTTAAGTGTTGTTACTAAAAAAGAATTAATCATTTTAAGAAGTTATTTTAAATATTTTTCAAATAATTATAACTATAACTGTTTTTCAAAATAAAAGAATTCATAATTATAAATGAATAAAAATATTCTTTTGCATTGCATTAAGGCATATATATTAACTTTCTAAGAAATTTCAATCCCAATTTGCTGAATGTCAATGTCAGGATTTGTTTTCTACCGTGGAATAGTCTGCATAACTTCATTATAAAATGGAAACACTGTGGATATATCATTATGAGCCACATGAATATTGGATAATAACCGATTAATATCATGGCTTCTATGAACCCTCTATCACTATGCCTCATCGATTTCTCTGCACCCCTTCCCATTTCCATTCGTTCCTCATCTTCCACGTTCCCGCTTTCTCAAACACCATGCCACCCCATCAAACACAGCAAGCCAAAACGCCACCACATCTCCAAAGTGTCATGCCACAGTAACCAAAACCAAAACAACTCAACACCAAACCATAAAGAAGGAAAGCCATCACACAACAACATTGTAAGAAAAAATAGGAGGGACGTTCTCATTGGCTTTGGAGGACTTTATGGTACTTCTACTCTTGGCAACAACAACAACAACCCTTTAGCCATAGCTGCTCCAATTTCTCCTCCTGACCTAAATAATTGTGGTCCACCAGAGTTACCAACTGATGTAAAACCCACCAATTGTTGCCCTCCAATACCTTCTACCATCATAGATTTCAACTTCCCTCCCCCTACAACACCTCTTAGGGTTAGACCAGCTTCTCATTTGGTCAACAATGTTTACTTAGCCAAGTATAAGGAAGCTGTTAAGCGCATGAAAGCCCTTCCACCCGATGACCCTCGTAATTTCACACAACAAGCTAATATCCATTGTGCTTATTGTGATGGTGCCTATAGCCAAGTAGGGTACCCTGACCTTGACCTACAAGTCCACAACTCTTGGCTATTCTTCCCTTACCACCGTTGGTACCTTTATTTCTACGAGAGAATCTTGGGGAGCTTGATTAATGACCCTACCTTTGCTCTCCCATTTTGGAACTGGGACAACCCTAAAGGTGGCATGATACTCCCTTCCATTTATGCAGATAAAACTTCACCTCTTTATAACCCTCTTAGGAGTCTTAACCACCAACCACCAACTCTCATAGACCTAGATTATAACAGAAAGGATGATGATGATCCGAGTGCGAGTGAGAATGCAAATGACCAAGTGGCCAGCAACCTCACTATAATGTATAGGAATGTTGTCTCCAATGGGAAGCTCCCAAGGCTCTTCCTTGGAAACCCTTACCGTGCTGGAGATGATCCTGACCCTGGTGCTGGCTCTCTAGAGAATGTTCCACATGGTCCTGTTCACTCTTGGACCGGTGATAAGAGAGAGCCCAACCGCGAGAACATGGGGATATTCTATTCCGCTGCAAGAGACCCCATTTTCTATTCTCACCATGCCAACGTGGATAGGATGTGGAACATATGGAAAACAATACCAGGTGGAAAAAGAAGGGATTTCACCGACCCTGATTGGTTAGACTCTGGATTTCTCTTCTATGATGAGAACAAGAATCTTGTGCGTGTGAAGGTCAAGGATTCCCTTGACACCAGAAAGCTAGGTTATGTTTACCAAGATGTTGACATTCCATGGCTCAAGAATAGACCTAAACCCAAAAGAACCAAAGGTAAGAAGGTGGCATTGGCACAAAACTTTGGTGTTGGTGTAGCACAGGCTGCTGAGACTACGTTAAGGAGTGTCGAGTTCCCTTTGACTTTGGATTCCAAGGTAAGCACAGTTGTTAAAAGGCCAAAGCTTTTGAGGAGTAAGAAGGAGAAGGAAGAAGAGGAGGAGGTGTTGGTGATTGATGGAATTGAGTTTGATAGGAATGAAGCTGTGAAGTTTGATGTGTTTGTCAATGATGAAGATGACAAGGTGATAGGACCAAGCAATACAGAGTTTGCAGGAAGCTTTGTAAGTTTGCCTCATTCTCATGTGCACAAAAACAAGAAGATCATAACTTGTCTTCGATTGGGGTTAACGGATTTGTTAGAAGACTTGGAAGCTGAAAATGATGATAGTATTGTGGTGACGTTGGTACCGAAATATGGGAAAGGACCGGTCACAATTAAGGGCATAAAGATAGAGTTTGCAACCGAATGAAAATATAGTATGTTTAATGAGAATTTCTATTGTAACATGTAACCGCAAGAAATTCGTTAATCAACGAGGACACTAATCTCATGCGAGTCTGTTACCACTACACCAAAGTTAACTTTTTATAGCTATATATATTTATATAAAATATTGATAAAGATTTATTAAATTGTTGAGAAAACTTAATTTTCTTAGAAGCAACTCATTTTAAAGATTATAAAATGTTATTTTTTTTAATTGTCTCCCTTCGACCTATTTAATGGCTTTTATCTATGGTAATCTTAAATAATTTATTCCTATCATTTTCTTTTTCTAGATTGCCTACATGTGTAAATAATGTGTAAATTCTCAAATTTCTCAAATAATAATTATTTAGGGATTCTATTTATCACATTACAAACTAATAAAAATATTTACTTTTTTTTTTATGAAGCCTTCATTATTTGTGGAGGGAATTGTATAATGGCACATCTTCAAAGACCAAAACAACTCAAGTTGTCATTTTCAAAGATTAAATTGTATATTATCTCTTTTATCATCTGTGTGCACATTGTTCAAACAACCATAACTAGAAAAAATCTCCTAGTCTCTTTTCCTTTCCTATCTAATAGTCAATGGATATAAAAAACATAATTCATCTATCAAACAAAGTCTTTGTTATTAGTTTTTGAATATCTTCATCTTTATTTTTCCTAAGAAGCTTCAACAAGTAAGTGAAGTCACCATCTTTAACCATATTCTTTTGATTTGTCTCTACGTATTATAAAAGACAATTCATTGTTAAACATAACAATAACAGTTATATACATTTATCAATTTTTCATTTGTAAAAACAACTTAGCGCAGTGTCTTTTAATTAGTACATGTTGATTGAATACCATCTCAACACAATCTATATTTTTCTTCTCTTCACATGTTCTAGAGTCTGCATTCTTAAAAGTTTATACAAACAAATATGATTAATAACATAACCTTAAATATAGAAGTGTCAAAAAAGAATAAAGTGGAAGAACTTGAAAAAAAAATAAAAAAAGCTTTGCAAAAAAAAGCTTTCCAAAGTTTGCACACTTTGGAATGGTTGAAGCATCCTCTCATATGCATCTATAGTTGATGGAGAAGGGGCACCAAATCAATTAGCTTTTTAACATGGGTTTTTTTTTTGTTTCTTTTTTTCAATAAGTGGTTGAGACTTGACTTATTTGGACACAAATTTCATTTTAAAAGCTTCGTCTAAATGGTTCTACATTTATATTAAACACATGAGATGATTTACTATTGCATGTCGAAAAATAAAAAAGATATTGAGAACTAACATAACTTTTCAAACTAGTCTCTAGATTGACAAGTGGAATCAAATGACCCAAACAAAAAGTCTTTTACATCTTTATCAATCTCCACAACTGAACCATCACATCCAAGTGTGTTTAGATAAAGTGTCTTATATAGTGAACTTGCAAAGAAAATAAAATCTAAATATGTATCAAAGTAGTTAACAATTTTAAAAATATGCAGAGCTTAATTTAATTTTAGATGTTTGTTAAGGATTTATGTTAACATTTTCTTGAAAGATATTTTAACACCCATTCCGGCTGTATACAAGATATAAAATCATCCATAAAAATTCCCTATAAGAATATGCCTTGTTAACATTGAATTTAGAACTTTAGAATACTTAGTTAAACGAAAATTAATCTCGCAAGTTGCACAATATAAACACCAACAAATGTGACAGAGAATGAAATAGTGGAGGTAAAGGAAACAGTCTCAAATCAAGTAGTGATAGAGGTTCCAAAGGTTTGAGTATAAGGAAATGAAACATACCTCACGCTTGATTGAATCACTTGCCTAAACATATTACTATAAGGAGTTGTAATTTTTTCAACTTTATATTCCTTGCTCATAACAACTATTTATACTTGGGACTTAATAAAAACTTAAGGTATCAAAAAATAATTTTAAATTTTAGAATCAAAATTAAAAATAAAAACATGTTTACATTTATAATATTACCTATTCAAATGAACTTCCAAAGTTTTGAGTCATAGGTAATTCTATGGGAAAATGTTTATAAAATGCTTTGGTCATGGAAGATAATTGTGATACTATCTTATCTTTAATGTGTTTCATCAAATGCATCTTTTCATTTTATTTTTTCTTTGACTTCTTCAGCTCACTCACCTCTTGCTCTAACTTTTGTATTATCCCATTAGATTTATTGCCACCAAGAATATTTTCTATGGAAGATTTATTATCCCATAGTTGAAAAGGTGTTGGACCAAGGCGTAAGCCACAAACGTAGCCATTTCTTTCTTCTCCCATTACTTGGGAATACACATCCCTTCCTAAGCAACACTACTAGTAGGTTGTATATTTTTTTTCATCATTGTTCAACTTTACTTGCATCATATCTTGAGTGAAACGAATTATGACAACTCAAAATTGATATAAAAAATTCAGTGGACTTACCACTATAGAAATTAATTAAAAAATCTTACCACTACTTTTGTAGGCTCCTCATCCAATGCTTTTCCATCTTTATGTTTCTTATGAGTTTCTTAGTTTTAGATTATGTAACATTATCTTAACAAACATTTTGCAAAAATCATCTATGAGGATGATGTAATATTTTTACTCTCTTTAATTGAAGCAGTCCTTTAAGTTCCAACCAAATTTGTGTGAATCAATTGAAACTTCTCTGTTGCTCTACAAGTTGACTATATTTGAATGGTATAATCTTGCTTCCTAAATTGACTAACCTCACAACTTGGTAATTTAGAATCCAAGTGAGGTAAACCATGAACCAACTCCTTATGTTGCATATTCAACACAATTGTATGATGAAAATGACCCAACCTTTTGTGTCAAACCTTTGTACTGTTTATGATAGTTGGATATGCAACTTGGTCCTCCTTCATTGGATCAAATGAGAAACTTTTGCCTCTCATTTTGATACTAAAAATTTATGTCATTGACATCTTTAGTTAAACAATTCTTATTTTCACAGATGACCTTAAATCCTTTCTCAACCAATTGACCCACTTAGCAAGTTTTGATTAATCAATTACATGCAAAACATCATAAATTAATTTTGTACCTATGCAACTTTCAATGGATATAGTCCCATTTTCCTTCAACAGTAATAAGATCAGGGCCGAACATTCAATAAGGCAATTAAGACTAATTCCTAGAGCCCCCAAATTTAAAAGGCCTCCAAATTCTTTTAATAGTAGTGTTATTGATATGAATTAATTTTTAAAAATTAATAATATTTGAGATAAGGTTCAATATTTTATAAGACACATATCTTACATTTTTTATATCTCTTATTTTCTTATTATTAAAATTACTTAAAAGACCACAACCCATTTATTAGTTTTTGTAAATGAAAAGTCACTCAACCATCAATAGTCACTACTACTTACTTTTGTCTTTTATAGATGACAGATTTTCAATCTCTTTGTTTTCTCTCTAGTCTATCTTATTCTCATTCTCTCTCCATTCTCATTCTCAATTCCTTCTTCTCGTCTAATTTGAGAGCTTGATTGGGAGAAATATGGTCATACTCTGCCTTTTTTCTTGGTTGATTCCTACTCTATAAGATCCTTTAAACTACTAAGTTAGTATAATTCTAGATGCTGGTTCAATAACATCAACGCATTTTCTTAGTTATCATCATTGACAATCCATTGTAGTGCACTTTTTGCATGATATTGCATTGTGAATTTGTCATGGGTCATCCTGGGGATCAGTATCACATATTCTCCTTTATTGAAATTGAAGTTTGTCATCTTGACAAGATTTTTTCTTTCCATGATTTCCTGAGTGTCTTTGAAAAGTCAGGATCAAACCCTTCTAAAACATTGTAAATTAATTATTAATGCATGAGAAAAAATAATTTAGTGCAATACTTTTATTTACAAATTTCAATTTTTAGATTTCATTTTTTTATTGTTTATCATTGTAGGTGCGCGCAAAGTGATTGTCACTACGGTTTCGATTTTAGATACTCATAACTGTGACAGTGCATACCCATATAGCTTAAAGAAATTTTCATTCACAAATATAATTTTTCACTTTCAGGTTTTATTGTTTCATTGTTATCTTCTTTTAATTTTAAAAATTAATTTTCTTATTATTTTATTTTATCCAATCAGTAAAATATGTCAAATAAAAATTATGTATCTGGTTTTGAAAAGTTAAAAAAAAGAGAAGAATTAAAAAATTAATTCAATCTCAACAAGGTGCTCTTCATAAATTTGTTACTATTCATAAAAAAGATGTTACAACTAGTTCAACAAATACAAATATGACAGAAAATTCTCCACTAGAAATCCCAAATAATATTAATATAGTATAGCAAAATACTAATAATGAAAACATTTAAGAGGTAGCTCATTCTGCTGAAGATTCTTTTTACATTGATTATTTTTTGTATATATTAGATCAATCTATTTCTTCTATTGAGAGTCGATTTGAAAAATTTTTAGAATATGAAAACATGTTTGATTTTTTATTTGATTCAAATAAATTTAAAACTTTAGGGGAAGATGAATTGAAAAAATGTTGTATCAATCTTGAAAAGATTTTGAGTTTTGAGGACCATTCTGATATAGATGGTATTGATTTGTTTTCAGAATTAAAGTTATTGAAAGAAATTCTAACAAATGAAATTAACACACCATTAAAAATATTGAACTATATAAAAAGATCATGTTTATTTCCAAATACATACATTACTTATAGAATATTATTAACATTACCTATAACTGTTGCGATTGCTGAAAGAAGTTTTTTAAAATTAAAATTAATTAAATCATATTTAAGATAAACTATGCTACAAGATATATTGAATGGGTTAACTATATTATCTATTGAGAGTGATATGTTATCATTACTTGATTATAAAACTTTAATAAATAATTTTGTAGCTCAAAAAGCCAAAAAAATAACATAAAAGTTATTAGGCTATATTAACCTAGGCCCTTATCTTAATTTTTGCCTAAGGTCCCGAAATTCCTAAATACGACCCTGAATAAGACCACAATTGCCAATTCTAACTTTGCATACCTTTGACTTGTCCAACTCTT